CTTGTGATCCTCCATTGTGAACTGTAGTGCAGACTACTTAACATTATTCATTTATTAGGGAATCACAGCCTTAACAAACACAGGATGACACGGATGATTGCATTATAAGCCTCTCTCTCTATCCAGGGTCTTTTAAAGCAGATACACTAAAGGAAATTTGCTATTTTGACTCTTTGGTAAATACACTTATCCACTTTCTTGGCTGCAGGAGTGATATCGTGATATATAACTCTGTACACGCTGCACAGAGGGAATGTGATAACAAATAGAGCTTTCTACTCACTTAGTCTGCTGGTAAGAGTAGGCTGTGGCATGATCTCCTGTGCTCTCCAAAGATAAAGGCTGCTGCCCGCTGGCGTCCTGCGAGGAGGGGGCGGCTGTCTGGGGAGATGCGTCTGTCACCACGCCCTGACACCAGAAACACAGAAATAAGTCCGATATGAAAACAATCTCAGGCACTAAGAAGACTGAATTTCAACCTCCATTTAGCAAAAGTTCACTGAGAGAATCAGTTTACAAAAGAAAACTGATATAATTTAAATGTGAGAGGGTTTTGCTTTCTGAGGCTCATTTAAATAGATATAAAAAAAAGGCCTCTCTCTGAATCCCACAGAATCACAATCTGATTCTGAGATCAACGTTTCAACCTGAAGTTCCCTCTGCAGCAATAAGTCATTGACTGATGCAGAGATCTACCAAACCTATTAGTTTTCATTACATAACAGTGAACTCATTTTGAATGGCAGCTACGTTTATTAACACACACTTCATATTAGATGATACTGTATATAAACTGGCTTGTATAATAAGTTGGATTCTTTTACACACTGTTTACTGTGTACTGTGGTTCCAGAAGTAAATATCCCTTTCATTTATGACTATCACCTACAATATTGTAACCATCCAATGCAGACTTACCATATGCTACGGAATTGTGAAATATTATCTGTATGACATCAACTGTTTTATTTGCAATGTCCAGGAGCAGCTCTACCCTACCCACGGATCATCCAGCGTTACATTACGTTTACCACAGAGCAACCGTGATTTCACATGAGGATGATCAGTAAAACAAAGTTAAATTCAGGAAGTCCCCTGGAAGTAATTGGAAGGGGGTCATTCACAATGATTCATTTGTAGCTGGTCGGCCTGCTTCCAGGCTTAAAACCCTCTTTATGAAACGCCTAGGGAGAAAATAAATACGAAATTCACTTTCGGGACCAGAGCCATTCTTAAAGTGGGAGGTCACTGATATGCTCAATAAAGTACAGGCTACTGTATGAAGTTGGTGTTACCGGTTTTTAGTCAATAAACAATCTTGTTTCTGTACTTACTTCCACTGTGATGGCAGAGGCAGGCACTGCAGTGTACTGGGGAATGTAGGTTCCTTGCATAGGAGCAGCTGCTGCAGCAGACATGTACTGCAGGGAGAGGGACACACACATGTTATTGTGACAGAAACAATACGTCATCCAGAACCCCTGGATTAAGAGAAGCTATTTCACGATGCAGTACATAGGAACAGTTTGGCCGTGGGCCCAAGGTCATTGTCCATTTCAGGCTGATTACAAACAGGAGACGGTATTTACCAAAAGAAAGCTGTGAGGTGTACAATTACAGCTGATCGCATGAAGTCTGTACTGACTATGTTTAGCTTGGAATGTGAACGTACACATGCATGAGGAAGGGAAAAGCTGAGACTCACTGTGCCTGTGGTGCCCAGAGACAGGTGGTTCATCTGCTGGGTGAGAGGAGCCATGACACTGGAGGGGTGAAGAGACAAACTGGGCTCTATGGCCGCGGCTGGGGTGATGACAGCACCCTGGGGCGGGAAGGAAGGACACATGACCAACTGGGTTGTTGACACTGGTGTACATATGTACCCACTAACCACAATACTTTGAGGTCACATCAAGGTCACAAACTACAGAATGGCACTGAGAGCCGAGCGCATACCTCCACCAACAGTCCTCTTCAATTCAATCACACTGCAGCAAATTGCACACATTAATAGAAATCAGGATCCATGATTTATTCACTGGGAAAACTGGTGAGAAATATCTGGCACTGTTAAAACAAGCCATTAAAATTCCTCGATCCAACCTCTGATCAGTTTTTTCCTTGACCTTATCCATTCCACCAAATGTCGTGGTCCCTCCTCAAGTTGTTTTTGCATAATCTTGCTTACAAATAAACCAACACACATGGGTGAAAACAGAACCTCCACAGTGGAGAGAATGACACATAACTAAGATGGCCAACAGTAAAAAAAACAACAGAATTATATTTTGTGAAGCACAATAAGTTGGTTTCTATGATATACAGCTAAATAACACCTTTTTATAATATGCAGGTTACATTTCCAACCCGGTTAAGTTTGATGACTGAAAATGGTTTGTCTTTGTACATGGAAAATGCAGCCAGTCAGCCAGGCTTTGGCAGGCTTGATACAACACGCTTCTGAACAGAGCAGAAAGGCTTTTCACTGTAAATCTCCTCGATGTGAAGGGCTTTGATGCAGCGTAACACCTTGATGCACTGAGCTCCACTTTTTCACTCCAGCTCTGCTACAGACTCAGCAGCACAGTAAAGATTTAATAGGAGACTCCTCACACTGCGAGTCGAGGTGCCTGGCAACGTCCTTGCAGCGGTAAAAAACCACCGCTCTTTTATGATCACTGTTTAACTACACTTCCCATGAGCACAGACAGCATCGGTGGATATGTGTCAGCATTGCTCCTGAAAGCATTTCTGTGTGCTGACGCGGGACGTTTGGAAGAACACAGGTAGTATTTAGGTATTTTAGGCAGCAGCCCAGCTGCACGGCAGTCGTCTTAACAGCTCTGCTTCTGTAGGGTTTCATAGGGAAGCTCACAACAAAACAATAACACAAACACACACACACACGGAGTAATGAAAGTTCTGGCTATTTGAGGCGTTCCTCTCGAAGGCACACACAATATCTCAGTTGTTCACAGTTGCGAATCTTTAAGTGAAGATCCTTTACGTCTGAGAACTTCACAGGGAGACACACACACACACACACACACACACACACACACACACAAAGGATTGTCGAAACTGTTAACAATGTTGAGTGCTCTTCCTCTTGACTGCTGTCTTCTTGAGGAGACCTGTTTGAAGAACACAGCAGCCTGGCTATCAGAAACACTCTGTCAACACTGTCCTCAACAACACAAGTGCATGAGTGGCACTTCTTCTGCAAGCACACACACATACACACACAATACTGTATAAAAAAACACAGAGAGGCATCCGCACACAGATGCAACAACAGATCTATACCCACAAAACCTGCACAAGTCTTTGGCTCTCGCAAAGACTTGTTTATTAAGCAGCCAGAATGAAGCTAACACCCAAGCTCTTCTTCCACCTATATAATACGTTCTCTCGTTTAATGATTTATCATCCTCCCTCGCTCTTTCTCTCACTTTATCCAATATCACAGCAGGCCTCCATAAGGAGAGAAAGGTGTTTACAGGAAAAGGAAACAAAGAAAGACTAATTATCATCTCTGATTTATAGCATTACAAGTGTGTGGGATTTAGTTGAAAGGGATCTATTGGCACAAGTTTAATGTAGAATAATCCTCATGAGGTTTTCACTAGTTCATTTCATCTAAATTGTATGAATTGTAGTTTTCTTTACCCCAGAAAAGACCCTTTATATTTGAATACTTTATATGTACATCGAGGGGACCCTCTCTCACATTAGTCCAGACTGGACAAACTAAACACCTTTTGAGTTTTTATGACAACTGAAGTTCACCACAGGTTCTATTTCATGTTTGGAAGGAGAGGGTGAGATGAGGAGTGTTCACTTGCAAAATGAAATTTCACCACTCGATATCACTAAATTCTACCGTGTGTGTAGACGAGTGCGTAATTGTGTGTTAATGTTATCGTGCATCAGACGAGGAATAAATGAGTATTTTCTTCCCCAAGGAAAGGAGGGAGAGAAACACACAAGATCTGCTTGAACTTTGAACTTGCTCCTTCTGCTTTTCACTGTCCCCTTCATCTTCCTTCTCCTCCTCTTCATCCTCCTCCTCCCCCTTTTTTGCTGTCATTTCTTTTTCTACTAGCGAAGTGAAGCTGACTAACAGAGCACTGCAGGCACTGTGCAGCATCAAATACACTGTTTTACTGATAATGATGCCAGTTTGAGAGAAAACCACTAACCGCTGCCGGTTGCGATGAATAGCTGCTTGTTCTCTTGCAGGTGGCGTGCTCTGAAAAGCAGATGTTGGTATTACTCTGCAACAAATCATTCAATAAGCGGGAACACCCCGTTTTCTCTGTCTCACCTTTAGTTTCTCAAAGCACGAAAGCCCACAGGAATTTTATTGGAAGACATGAAGCAAAAAAGAGACACCTGTGTTCATGCATGGTTGACAGCTCTGCAAACACAGGATCTCTGCATTTAAAAAGTTAGTATTGTGCTGTATTTGCAGGCTCAGATATGTCGTGAACTGTGCTTCCTCCAACCCCTTTGTCTCCTAAAATGGCTTTAACACAGTAATTTAACTCAGGAAGACCTGAAATCCCAATTCTTTGGATGTCTCATTACAGCCCTCCCCAATAAGCCGCCTTACTTGTCTGTCTTGCTATGCATGGTTAGGGTAATGCATTCATTTCCTGTAGGGGGATTTGTGAGTAATTATGCACAAAGCCATCCTCTCACTAATTAAGATGTAAAGACAGGGAGTTCAAGTAATCTGGGCATTCCACCAAGGCTCGGCAACACAGTCCTTAAGGCACTCCACTGTTTGTGTATAGGTGTGCTTGTGTGCGTGCGTGTGTATTTGAATTGTGTTGTGTCTGTAAATATAGTCGTCAGTTTGCATGTGTGTGCCCACTCTTTATTCCCGAGGAATGAAAACAGAACTTAGCACTGTTTTTATATCTCTCATTCTAACCTCATCATAAGTTCATTCGTTCCTTCAGCAACGATGTGTGTAGTGTGTATCTGTGAAAGTGTGTGAGCGATGCACATAGCAACCTGACAAATTTGCATGTAGGAATCTGACCGAGCGATTAAAAGAGGCGTGCTCGTGTGCACCGCTCTAAATGTGTCAATGAATGCACGCCGTTAATCGAAGTCACCAGTCATTAACTGTGGTGCAACAGTGAGGAAGAAGCTTCTGCTGCCATAGGAACAGAATTAAGCCACAGTGTCTCTCCCAGTCTCCCTCCCTGACGCAGATTTAATATGCCGAGCTCTTCTGTATCCAGGAAATACAATGACTAGCTCTCGCCTTTGTTGTCTAACAGGGATTTTGACTATGCAGAGACAAGGCTGGGGAACAGGCACACACGGCCCAGACATGCTTTTGCAGCCGTTGTTTTCTTTTCTTTGTTCTCAATTTATTCTTTGTAATCCCTTCTTTCCTCTCCTTCCCCACGCGCCTGCCTCTCTCTCCCCCCGTCTTCTCTCTGTCAGAACGCAGCTGCTTTCTTTACTTTCTCTTTCTCCAAATCCCTCATTCTTTCCTCTCTTTTATCTCTGCTTCTCTGTCTTCTTACCAAGTCGAAGGAAGCCATATCGAGTGGCCTGCCAAATAATAAGACGAGACATTTGTTTGAGACATTTACAGAGGGGTATTATCCTTTCTCACAGACATAATTTTAATCAGACATGAAAACAGAACGTTTTTAGCAGTTGGAAGATAGACACAAAGAGGGAGAAAGAGGAAGAGACTACGACAGAGAGGAGGAGCAACGGAATTTGGAACAACTTTAACAATTGATGTGGACGATTTTGACTTTAGAAATTCAGTGCAGGTTGCTGCCGTAAAACCCCAAACCTCTGATTATTTCAACTGGGCATCAATCACATTTTTCAGGGATAAAATAGTCTGTGGTTGTTAGCCGAGCAACTCACCAACATTTGCCATGAGATAAAAATCTGGACATGAAATCAGCCTATCATCAGCATTATTTTCAAAAAGAAATACTGATACTTTGCTGTTAATCTTCCATTATAAAAAGACTGTGTCATCATGGGATGCCAATGCAGTTCATAATGTGCTGTGTCTGGAAGCCCCTGTCAGCTATGATTGCCAGAATAACTGAAATTCTAATGTGCAACGTCTGGTGGCTGATAACCCTACTGCCTCCATCAATCCCAACCAAAGGTTCTCAAACTTTTTCCCCTCTACCCCCAAAATAACCAGGCACAGACAACCCCTCATTATTTAAATAGATTTAAATTATATTTTACAATCATCTTCATGTCGAATCAAATCTATTGTGCCTATTACTTCTTTTTCTATTGTTCTGCTATACTGAGGAGTAATTAACCAGTTTATCTCTTATTGAACATAAGAAAATATACCTCACTCCTTCCAACAATTAAAGAAACAGAATGGAAATGTAAATCCATGGATTAGATGAAAGTGTAGGGATTTTATATACGACATGTTTGTGTAGCTGCTGTGAGTACATCGGTTTGGGGGCTCACAGCAAACTCTGTGGAGGTTGTTGTTATAGCTGTACACCGTCTGTGGCTAAAAAAAGGGAAAACCTTGACGTCTGCATCAAGGTTATGTTTGTGTGTGAGTGCAGAGAAGGAAAAGACAGAGAATGTATAGGTGAGTGTACACCTACACGCGCAGTCAATATATGTGACTATATGTGTCACTGTATGTGTGGGTGTGTATAATGCATTTCTATGTTTTAATAAAAGCTGTGAGCACTTGTGTGTACTTGTGTACTTGTACCGAGCTCAGACAATGTGAATCCTTCAGATCAGACAACCACAGGTCTGCATACAGGAAGCATTTGATGTTTTGTATGACGAGTAATGTATCTTACTCATATTGAGCCTATACAGTGGGGTCCAAACGTTGGGAGCAATTACAGACCTATGGACATTGTTTACTATTTTTGTTTATTGATTATATGTACAGTTGTATATATCAGATCAATAGTTACATGTTTAAATTGACTGTAACATCAGTTCATATTGCATGTTTATCATTACACTTTTAAAAGTCAGGTCTCTGTACCTGCAGTTTTATTTTAAACCAGCAGGGAGCAGCCTTTTATAATGGATTTCAGACTCTGCTCTGCTGAGCTCTTGTATTTCCTGTAAGGAGGTTATTCACAGGCTGATTCAGCAGAGCAGGGCTCAGATGCAGAGCGACAGTTTTTTATATCATGCTCTGCTACTCTTGTTAGAAAATGTGTCATTCTTCTTTTTTTATTTGTCTTTTTTCAGTGATTTATAGCAATTTACCAGTGTAAGTGACAGCCCAACATTAGCAGTGAAGTGTTAGATTTAAAACGAAATCTGAAGACACTGAATGATGTGAACAATTCAATTCAAATATAATTCATATTATGGTTTGTTCAAAAACTTACTGTGGGTTGCATAACATACTGTTGATGTGGCATCCAAGATGTACTCTGGACCTGTGGACAGAAGAGAGGAGAAGAGAGGAGAGGAGAGGAGAAGAGAAGAGAAGAATCAGGACAAAAAGAGAAGAGAAGAGGTGACGACAGTATCAGCAGAGATGACGAAGGAAATAGTAATAAAAAAGACAGAGGGTGGACAGAAAGGAAGGAAGAGAAAAATAAAGTAATTAAAAAATGGAGAGGATGAGTAGGAGGATCCAGAAGGGAGGTCAGGAAGAGATGAGAGGAGAGGCAAGATCAAAAAGAAGATTGTTATAAGTGGGTGAAGAATTTAGGAAGAGGGAAAATAAAGAAGGACAATTGTGAGATGGAATGACAGAAAGCGAGTGAAAATGAGAAAGCCAAAGAGGAGAAGAGAGAAAATTAATCATTAGCGCAAGTCTTTACAAGCCCATTTCAGAGCCTCCATCCCTGCGGCAGTGAATACTACAGCCGGAACTGAGTGTCCACCATACAGTATGTTATGTTGTAATTATAAGAGGATATGAAGACCACAGAGAGCAATACAGTCTAATAATTACTGCTTCACACTGGCGGTTTCATCATCAAAGTCTGACTTGGCCACAAATCACCACTTTCATCTCATACTGCTGCCCACTGCCCGAGCCTAATATGAGGAGAAACACGTCCCTGGAGACACCTCTGTCACATGTAAGGTGTTGTATGTGTGTAGGCTATAGAGGAATGTGAGTTCATGTGTATGTCCGCTTATCTGTCTGTCTGTGGGGAGTTAAAGTAACAAAAGGCAGGTTAACGCCTTCTCCCGTCCTCCTCAAAAAGCAGGATTTGATTGCGTCTCATGTCATTCAGCTCAGGTGAAGATGTCTTTGCATTTGTCTTTCTCATTTACAGCAGTGCTTTATATGAGGGGAAACCTGTGGGGGAGGACCTCTCTTTCTTTTTCTCTTCTACGTTTCTGATCAACTAAAGAGATAAACTTGCAAAGAACCAAACCTGCATCGCCAACCAGCTTTGACTGGTATGTGTGTGTGGAAGAGAGATGATGAGACACAGAGGAAGAGAGTGTGCCTGTGTTTAAATTCCAGGATCCAGGTCTGCATCAAATTTGAATGGGTTCTTTCCTGACCCAATACGTTTCCTTCCGTAACCTATCATTTTCTAACTCTCAGCACTTCCCACGAAAAGATAAAAAACATCTATGAGTATGTGCATCACCTAATACGTTTAGGCTCCTGCTGTTTGAGGCACTCAAACCCCTTTGGTTACAAATATATAGGTTTGTACAGTATAAAGCAACCTTGTATGTATTAGCATCACTTCAACAGGAGGACAGAGTTGTTAACCTTACTTAAGATGCTAACAGTGTGTGTAAGTGCTAGCAGGCGGCAGTATGTGCCCATGGGATGCCATTTTGGAGCTGTGTCTAAATGAGAGCATTAGTTGCTTTTCTAAATCTGACAGCTAGGCAGGAAGTCAAGAAATGTGTCAGAAGCTGGAACTTTTTGGTGCTTTGCAATGTTGGCTTGGACCAGATTCAAGTCATTTGTATTTTAGCTGTAACATTATCGATCCAAACACACAACCTCTATCTTTTATTAGAAAGAGAGTGTCCTAACTGCCTGTCGCCACCAGCACTGTTTGAAATGGTTGTCGTCTGAAGGAATTACAAAACTCCACAAGTCTGGACGTAAATTAGAAGAGCTGAGACAGGATCCACCCACCTGATATGTGGAGACGGGAGAGGCAGCGATGAAGGGCGTGATTGATGTCTGTGCAATCATCCGATTGGTGGAGATGCTGTACGGTGAAGAGTAGAACCTATGAGAGGAAACAAGGAAATTTAGTTGATTTTGACATTTTTTTCAGCAAATTCATATAAATGGGATAAAACTGATCCAAGGGCATTTAAAAAAACTGTGTAATGTTGACAAAAATGTAACGTCAGTCAAAAGGCTCCAGTACACATGCGACTTTATCTCTCCAGAGATCGCCACATGTAAAGGTGAAACTCTGCCTTTTGTACCTTTTTGTTTTTCAACCACCCAGTGTACTTCAAGATGCCGCTGAGAAAGTGGATCAGACATCATCAAGGCCGTCTCAGGAACAATAAATATTGCAGCTTCACTCTGTGCCACATCATCAAAGACGTCTCCGAATGAGACTTGACACTGCACCGGAGTGCACATCAAGTTACAAAGGAGTCTGCTCCGCTGCTATGCATAATAACGAATTATCACCTTAATGTGTGAGTGGGTGAAATGTTTCAGTATCTCCTTTAATGCACACACATATTCCACTTTGAGGGGAAGGCTGCATCTCATCTTTAACATCTGCATTTTGTACTCTGTTTACTTCTCTGCCTATACCTTTGTTTGCCCTTCTGGTTTTGCTGTCTCTTTCACTCTCTCTCTTTTTCCATTCCACCCTCCCTCAAATGCTGCAGTGGTAGAATGCTGTGGCTCACGGTGCTTTATTTATCATTGTGTACCTAGAGAGGACATGTTTCATCCGCCAGGCCGTGTTGCTGTGCCCGATCGATCCCCAAGTGTCTGTTGACTGAATAATGGAGCGAGGGAGGGGAGGGAGAGAGGGAGAGAGAGATAGAGGCAGAGGCAGAGAGAGAGACACCCTCCCCTATCTCCTTCTAACAGCCATGATTGTATAAAAAGGCACTTGCCACAAATCAAGTGTTGCTTAATTGGGGGATAAAAGTACCTAAAAAAAACCATACACGCTGTTGGTTTTCTTAAAGGCTTCTCTAAACTACCACTGACAAATTATATGCAATGTTTTTATCTTATTTTTATTACATTCCTGTGTTCTTCTCTGTGTTATTTATAATATAATATACAACATACAGTAATGAATTGGGACTCAGCAACAAGCCAAAGTAAGGACAATGTGCCGATGAATGGGTGCGAGTCCACTGCAAACACAAGCACACATGTAATTGTGAGGGTGGAATAGACCTTCTGGTTAGTGGATGGCCCTCTCTCGCTCCTCGGCCAGACCCACAGCTATGATCACGGTCTAGGTATAGGCCAAAGAGGCAGTTGTTTTTTTTTAAACTCTCCTTATTGAATTGAAGCTTAGCTGTCCATAAAGAGTAGAGGTAAAGGTCAAGAGTGGATGGAGGTTAGTCCCTAATTTGCAAAAATTTTACATGTTTACCTTATTTGGAAATAGACAAGTAAATTATTAGCAATTTATATTGTTATTATAATACATTTTAATAATAATCGTAATACATCTTATTTGTATTTTTTACTTGTATTTGCATACAAGAAATGAAGCTCAAAGTATTTTTTTTCAAATAATTCCTTCAAGAGACAAGAGATTTTCTAACATTTCCCTTCACACCTTTCACCTCTGGCTTCTCTTCATGTCTCAATAGCTTTGCCTGTAAATGTAGCCACCATGGAAACTGCAGGTTTCTCCGTTACATTCATTCTGTATTGGCGTTGTTTTCTTTGAGCTACTGTACTGCACATCTGCTTTCATCAATACAATTCAACCATTGACATCACTTGAGTTGAACAGACTGGACAGGTATGGATCTAAGTGAGAGTGAGAACTGGAACATGTGATGATCAGAAAAAAAAGGTCCTTTACCGATCGGCTGTATGGATCCATCTTTTTGACTTTACAATTAATGTATGACTCCCATTAGAGATAGTGTATTACTGTCGCTGATGAATACAAATGAGCGAATGCAACCAGGTTATTCAATATGGTTCTCTGATTGTTTTTATTGTATTTTTCATTAGAGTGATGTGTATTGAGAGAGAGAAATAGTAGGTAGAGGACAGATCCAAGGTTATTGATGGAGGCTATTAGCCTTGAGCAGCACGCTGTCAATAGGGACTCCAGCGCGGCTGTTTAAACAATACACTAAACATGTAATTGCGAAGAGAACATTAAGACAGGATTGAATTTAAAACCTCTTTGTGAATCCCTGGTGTGACCTAGCGGCACTGTCAGGAGTTTGCCCTGAAAAATTAGCAAATGATTTAATGCCGACCTGGGTGAATTTTCAGCAGAGAGATGCAAGTGAGCAGGGGGAAAATAGACTGTGTGTGTGTGTGTGTGGGCAGGAGAGATAGGGGAAAGATATAAAGGCAAAGAAAGAGAGCAAAGTAAAGAGGCATGGAGAGAGGGAGAAACAAAAGTAAAACAGGCAGACCAGAAAAGAGGTGGGAAATAGAGAAAAAGAGCCTCCAAATAGAGAGGACAGGCAACAAGCCAAAGCAGTCTGGCCAGTTGGGACATATGTTTCCAATAACATCAGATTGACATCAGACCCTAAACACCAGCCGTCCTCAAGCTTGAAGAGACTGGCAAACCTGTAATTGATTCATACCCTTGCCGTCTCCTTGGGCTGACTTTATTTTTGCCTTTGCCCTCCTCTTGACCCCCGCCTGGCCTTCCCTTTTTTTATTCAACTCCTTTCTCCCCCTGCTTTGCGCCTCTCTAATTAGCTGCATTAGCATTTCACAGTCATTTAGTGTTTCGCCGGAAGGAGCTCAGATGACCTCGGAAGAGAGGTCGGAGAGGGCTTAAGCACCGCCAGCGCACAGATGCTCGCGTGTGAGCATGCATTGATGAATGCGCAAGCATGCGCACGTGCACTGAGACACCAGTAAGGACAAAAAGTAAAGCAGATGCTTGTAAATGGAAAGTGGGAATTGAAAGAAGAAACTGACTAAACAAGAACACAAGGCAAAGAAGGGAGGGAAGCAATTGTTGAACAAAACTGCACATGGTCAGACAAGCAGGTGGACAGGTTTAGAGGTGATATGAAGAAGGGGGCGGGATGTAACAAACCATGAAGCACAATAGGACAAGAGTAAAGAAGAGGGAGAAGAGGCAAAGTGGGGAAACAAAGAGGAAGGAGAACTGAGTAGACGAGGCAGAGGAGAAGAGAAACACAGAGCTGGAGGGAAGCGTCTCCTGGGATCGCATCACCAGCAGCATTCCTAGCAGACAGGACCGATCTCCAATTTCCCCCCTGAAACAGGCAGGCAGACACTCTGCTCTCTGCATTCAGCCTGGGAGCACTGCAGATAGCCTCGGCTGATGAAAGTCTTACAGCGGCTCTGCAACACCACCCAACTTCCCTGTCTGCAATCAAAACCCACATGTCTGACAGCTTGTATGCATAGGTGCATAAATAAATGCTCAATCTCCATGTAAGTTAGATGAGAGAATGAGGATGAGAGCAGGAAAGACAGAGAGAGAGACAGAGAGTGTGTGTCCGTGCGTGTGCATTCAGCCCATTTGCAACATGTGCTCTTGTTGATAAGCCTGCTGACGGTTGTCTGATGCACATTTGCATCTTCGCAGGTTTGCTCGATCATGTGTCAGTTTCGTAAAGGCTCACCTGCAGGTGCTGTTATCAGGACTACAGCATTTTTTGTGTATGCTTTACATATTTGACGAGGATCAAAAAAGTAAAGTTTGCACACATCGGTTGTTGGAGAAACAGCTTGTTGTGAAGAAAACTGTCCACCTACCCGTTCTGCATCGCAGCTGGATCATACGTCAACGCCATGCCACTCTGGAGGGAAAGATAAACAAACACTCACAGGTTAAAATACTTATGAAGGATTATTAAGAGTTTCAAATGTATATTACTGGTGTTGTCAACTGACATTAAAACCCTGATTTAGTAATACTGCATATGACTAATGGTCAAGCCAGTAAAGGTAATGAATTGAGAGAGAATGAGACACTGGAGAGGGAAAGTGTGATTCATGATGTAAAATAAACAAATTTCTCTTTAAATTCACAGAATGTACAAAGAACTGCTAAATAAAGAACAATGGATGATGTCCTCTGTCGCCCCAAAATCCCACATGAGTCTGTTAAAAGCACTTAGGAGCAAAATGATTATGTGTGAGCCTTCAAGCCACTTCAAACTACATGTCATGTCCAAAAATAAATACAATAAATTTACCACACAAAGGAAACAGAGGGGCAACAGTTATTATCTTGCATAGTAGATACTGTATGTAGCAACACAAACATTCATGGCTCAATGTACTTAACCATCTAAACTATATGTAAACAACTGCTCCTTAGTCTTTTATTGTGAAAAAAACTTTTTCAGTTTCATTATTACTATCTAGTTTGAAAAAAAAACCCCTCAGATTATAAATGGACTTCATGATAATGAGCTGTCATCAATGAAACAAATGCCACAAACTTCTCTTTACAAACCAAATGTGGTCTTTTCTGCTGTTCGCTCCACTTGAGTTTAACATTGTGTCAATAAAAAAACACAACAGACACAGAGAGAAACAGACATAAATCCATACTGGGTGCCATGAAGGTGACAGCCCGGCTGATTGAGCTGAAAATCTTACATATCGTGTAATGAACGCACAAAGGAGCAGAGAAGAGGCAATCTGAGGTAAATAAGGAAAAGCAAAAGTTTCTTCTTTGTTCTGAAATCATTCATTTTCAAACATGAACTCCAGAAGTGGGTCTAGACTTTCCCTGGAGTTTGCCTCTCAAATGTTTCATATGGACACGAATTGCCCGTTTGTATGTTTGCACTGTCCCTTATCACAAAAAGCTTTTTTAATATCTTTGTCTGTGTTTTCATTTTTTTGTCCATCATGTGTTCTAAACATCATGATCAACCCTCTCGCTTACTTTGAATCCTGCAGAGGATCATCTGTTGTGTTCTAACATCAGCTCATTAGGACATTCTGTGGTGTTCTTACCAGGGGACTGGCCAGAGAAACTCTGCAGAATCGCAGGAGGCTCTCAATCGGACATTTGTGTTCTCACATACATCCCCTCTGGAGAATGGAAAAACCGGAGGACCGGAGGTCCTCCAGAGTTAATTGCATGTCTAAAGGCAACTTTTCTGAGCTGTTATATACACAGTCTGTAGTTGTCACAACAAACATCTGTATTATCTGTTAGGGAATTTAATAGTGGCCAAAAAGTGAAAAAAATATACTAAATAAATAAAAAGTTCAAAACTAATTTCAATGTCAGTTTGGAAATCACTTTAAATGTTTACTAAATAACTGTGATCAAGTTATCAGCTGTTTTATGGATATCATTACCATTTAGCAAATGTAAGTACTTACACATGATAGAACCAACACTAACCCACAATAGAAAGTGTTTCTCATGGAACAACAAGCAGACACCATATTGTTAATTTCCTTCAGCACTCTCCTCTAATCACAGCGCTCACTTATTACTCAGTACTCAGTGCTAATGACTAGTAAAACGTGTAACTCTCCAGCTGCATAAAATCAGTATGAGACGAAAAGCAACTGAAAAATACAAGAGTGTATTTTTTATTTGTAGTCTCCTCCTCTCTATCAAATGTAGCATCTAAGTCCAGAGTTTCATCATTATTGTCTATGACTTTTTTCTTTCTGTGCCTCATTTCTTCTGTCATGTGTGAATTAATGAACATCTTCATCCACTTGTCTCCCTCTTGACAATCTTTGGATAAACTTAAAATATCAATTGTGTTCTCAGTCTTCTAATCTTTATTTTTCTCCTTCTCTGTCGGTCCCCCCGTCGTCGCTCCCCCTCCTTTTAAATCTGCAGCAATACAAAAGTCATTTTTACTTGTTCTATATTCCACACAAGGCCCATCTCTCCAAATTGGCACATGAGTTGAAAGTGTGCCCTGATGCATAACTCTGCTGCGATGTTTGGTTTTTCCCCAAACGCTGTTCCTTGCCAGGACGGGGGGAATATAAACTGCAGAAGCAATAAAAGTGACTGCCAGACATTGATGACATCAAATAGCAAAAATTAATCATTGCAAAGCCAGAGATTCATTTTCATACCAGCCCTCTAACAGAAATCAGATTTAAAGCAGGTACAAATTTACATCACACACACACACACACACACAATAATTATATCCTTCACCTTGAGCAATATTTGTATTCACTGTTGGTTCCTTAACAACTTATTGATTTGTCTTTGGTCAAAAAAGGATTGTTTTTGCTCTGTGAAGCATCTTGATGTTGCATTCTGTCGTCTAAGTTTCCTTTATCTTCAGCAAAAACCACATGTTTCCAGAGGGAAGCATGTAAGGACACCATCACAAGGCCCATTGACCAGAAACCTTTGTTTGACAGTTACCAGTCATTGTTAGAGTTAATCAAACAACTACAAACAAATGCAAAACAGTGACAGAGACACAGAACAGCTACAAAGAGTCACACATCGACCACACAGACTAATTTAAAGAGACTCAAAAAGGCTACAAAGAGACACCAAAACACTAACAGATGGCTACAAAGAGTCAGAAGATTGTTTAAACAGATGCTTTCAAAGAGACACAAATTGCTACAAAGAGACATGAAATGGCAAAAACAGAAGGTCACAAAAAGAGACGAAAAAGACTAAAAGATGATAGCAAATATCCACAAAATAGCCACACAGGTGGCTCCAAAAGGACACAAAACAACAACATCATTGTCAAGAGACACAAAATGTCCATATAGATAGTTCAAGGTCACACAAAATGACAATGCAAGAGGCTACGAAAGGGAACAAAATGGCAAAAAGATGACTACAAGGAGACAAAAGGGCTATAAAAAAACACAGAGACTAAAAAAGACTAACAGGACACTTCAGAAGGACACAAAACAGCCACATGGACAGCTACAAAGGGACACTCCCTTGCAGGGAACTGCAAAGAGAAAGAAAATACACTGCACACAGTGTGGTGGCACCCTTTTCTTCTTTGGGTGTCTAGGTCTTATGCAGGAGGGGTGAGGGGCCCACAAAGGTTTTACCCAGGGGCCCACTGTCTAATAATCAAGGCCAAGGTCAGATTCATTTACGAGTGAGGGGTTTTGGAGATTAGGGTCAGCTGACTGAGTGTGTGGACGCGGTGAGGCCCCTCAGAGCACCTCCCCAGCCAGATGTGTCTATTAGGCTGCCTGGACTCTGAGACTTGGCGCTGACAAATGCAGAAACCTCTGAAGGGATGCTTTTCCTCTTGAACGCCAAGTGGGGCTTGTCAGGACTTGGGCCACTGACAAATGTGCAAGATCATTCATTTCAAGTCCAGCTGACAATTCAGGACAGGACACCGAAAAGAATCACTAAACACCAAGGCCTCTAATGTTAACTAAGCCCCGGTGAGATTTCTTGGCAATACAGAAATGAAAGCTGCAATCCGTGTCTGCAACACAAACAAAAGTCAAACACACATGCACCGTGGCATCCTGTTTTCATTGTGGCAGCTCTTGTTACAGTGCACAGTTGTTTCAGCCTGGTTCCATTTCGTTTCACTTCACTGCCTTCTCTTTCCCTACCTCCATGTAATGCACATTGTTGGGAAACCATTTAAAACTACAATCAGCGTGTGGGTGGCGACATTATTCTTTACTTTCCCTTGTTCTGTGAATTAAAGCTGTGGTATCGACACTAACAACGTCTGAACTTGCGGCATTGTGCGACACTCAATCTGCTTTCAGTCTGGTGCACAAGGCTTTCATTTCTCCAGAAGATGACAGACTGGAAGTGCGAGTTTCAACAAAAGGAAACATAACTTGGCATTGGGGTCTCGCAAAATAACCTTCTATTTTAAATTTAATAACTTTTGTGTATGCCAGCTTTCATACTGTCAGCAACATCTCTAATTCAGCCTGCACTGTGTTATTTGGATATGAAAGCTGATAATGACCCCACAGGGGGTCCTGTCAAGTTTTTCAGATTTTATACTCTGTTATAAAATGTGAAAAAGAAACTGATGTCAAAGGGAACACCAGCTAGATATTTAAAATGTATGAGAAAGGTGACTTTTTGGACTTTCTGTGAAGCAGCTACAGACACTGCTGTGGATCGCTTCAATACAATCCATTGTAGTTATTGCAACAGCATTTCCCTTTCACTTCTATTATGATATAATTACAGTTGTGCTTTTGCTAGAAAGTTGAGAAGGAAAAAGGCTTAAAAGAGGTGAGTGGATATACTCTACTCATACTTCTGATTAAGTTAGAACAACATCACTTTTGGTTTGTTAACTATTTCCTCTTGAACATCCCCTCTCAGTAGACACAATGCACTCACTCTGATTGCGAGAAGAAACGGGATATTGTTGTTTAAAGAAATGCTGCAGCATAATTCTGCCTGAGGAAAAATCTATGTTGCCTTCTTTTGTAGTGGCAGAGGGTAAAAATGATTATTTCGTGCAACAACCTGGCTGAAGGAAATGGTTCTTGTGTTACAATGGCCCCCTCCACTTATGATTTAATAATATGTTGCAGCAGCAGATGAAGACAGTCTTATATGACAGGTCCTGGTGAGCAGCTACTGATGATTGAATAAACGTGTAAGCCTTACCTCTCCATCCCGTGTCCACGGTCTGCCATTCTGGGGATACTTGACCTGGGTCTGCCTCTTTTTTTGGCCTCCATCAGCAAACTTGCACAGCAACGGCTCTGCTGGGGCTACAGAGTGGGTCCGCCAGAGAGAGAGAGAGAGAGAGAGAGAGAGAGACAGACAAGGACAAACAGCAATGGATTAATCGTCTTAATAGCAGGAAAAATTGAAATTCCATGCATTAGGCTACGAGTTACATTTCAAAGATAAGACTTAAAGACAGGGCTTTTTGCGGTGGCTTAAACAAAAACACAACATAAATCACCTGGACCAGAAAACAGCTCTTCAGCTCTTACATTTATCTTTTGCACCCTTAATCCAAACATCTAAACAACAGCAGTTATCGCACATCTCTACAACTCCTACAACCGCACTCCGACAAGAGCAGCCTTGATGTGGAAACAAAGCCACGGGCTAATCATCAAAGCATGGCGAGCGTGGTTCAAACAACAAAACCAAGCAGGCATACTTAATGGGCTAAATAACTCCACAGCTTGACCCCCGGGCGATAGGCTGGGGTAGTGATTGCTCCAAAGACAACACGGTCCTTTTCTTGGACCAGAGAAAGAAGAAAGCCTTGATTACAAATAGGATTAGCTGACTGTGACCTCCCATACAAAAGTTCACCAGAATTCCAACTGCAACTTGATAGACCTTAAATACCCCACAGGCTTCTGAAAGAACAGGAAGTAGCTGGATTGGAGCAGGAGTCTCAAGAGAAAGGCTTTGTTCTGTATCAATTAATTTTATTCTAAGGCATACCTTCAGGATTTGTTTGAGAAAAAGAGTGTGAATAATGGCTTCAGTTTCGAGGAAAAGATTCAGGATGATTAAACAAACAATAAAAAGTCCTGGTGGGCTGGGACACTTGACGGCTTATGAAGTTGCAAGGAACTTCTGTCATATGTGATCTCTGACACCAAGGTATTTCTTTGGATCTCCTGTTATTGCTCAACCATATCCACACATGAGGCTAAGTGAAAGCTAATGAGCAGTCAGGCAGACTGTTTTCTTCTTCATGCCCATGTTCCCGCTATCTCTTAGCTCCACCAGCTGAAATGGCAACATACACATGCATCAGGCAAACATAATGCATGGACTAGAGGTAAAGAACGTCATACAAACTGAAAGGATCAAAGCAAACTGCCCTGGGGTAAATATGGCTTTTAAAACAGTTACCAAAGCATAGATACGGCATGAGATCTGTTATATATAGCTACAGTTATCTGTTGTAGCTGCAGCATGAGATCTGTTATATATAGCTACAGTTATCTGTTGTAGCTGCAGCATGAGATATGTTATATATAGCTACAGCTATCTGTTGTAGCTGCAGCATGAGATCTGTTATAGTACAGTATATATATACTGTCACAGCTGCAACATCCGGTAATGGTTTCCGGTCATCTCTCTCTCTCTCTCTCTCTCTCTCTCTCCCTATTGCGGGTTTCTGTCAAAGCCAATTATTAGCTCATGAAGGCTCCAACTCAATCGGTAGTTTTGTAAACCCCCCCACACCTCAGGATTATTCAGGCAGATAATCGTAACCAATTGACCTCCAGTCGGGAAGTCCCCCGCGAATGTCGGAAAGGGTCAAAGTGGGTGTAAAATCACCCCGATTATCCTCTGGTGTGCAGCAGCCCTCAGGTACACCAGCTAATCATTTTATTTGGTCAGAATGAAATTATAAATTCTGTTTATTACAGTCAGGATTTCATCCCGCTGGTGAGGGACCAAGTTCAGAAAATGTTCCAATGTGACAGTGTAGAGGGCAATAATATGTTTTGTTTAACAATATGAACAACTTGTCTTGATTTGATTAAGACATGTATTGTGTGTCTCCTATTGAGTTTAGTTTCACTCTCAGGAGTGAACTAAAAATACATTAGATAATACTCAAAAGACTTGTCACAAGCCTGTGATACTGAAACCAATGAAGAACAGCAAATCATAATAACTATATGTTGAAATACATTTAAATGCTGGTTAAAATGCTGAAATTATGAATCCTGAACTGTAACTGCAGCAGTGGAACACTGTCACACAAACAAGACTTCTGTTCATAATCACAGTCAGTTTTCTTGAAAACACCTCTGGGCCCTGAAATTGAATAAGCCACCTACTTTTAATGCATTGCCTCTCACTTGTTACATCCACCAAGGCATGTTTGAGTCACAGACTGCATCTTTAGCTGGCACTCTTGTCCTATTTAACTGGCAATGATTTCACACTGCGGATAACCTCTGGAGCCTCATCACTGTATGTAGCAAAGAAATAAAGAGATTCTTCGGTGACATGGGGCTCTGTGAACAAGCAAAAGCGATATCATCACGCTGATACTGATTCAGGCATTATGAAGTCCAAAATAAACCACGCAATTACCTCGCCTACTTGAGGAAAAATGTTTCTTCAGCTCTGTAAACTGAAAAATGAGAAGAGGAGTTCTCAGCGGAGAGAAGCAGTCAGAGTCAAAGGTTGAAAATAAAGTTATTTAGAACGCCTGGGGCCTGCATAGTACTCCAAAGGTAAGAAGACGCACATTCACAGCACCATGTGATTATGCTGCATTTAGCAGTACTTTGTCATTACAGTTTTACCGTGATTTCTGTTTGGATAACAAGTCACACAGTCCGGGCCCCTGTTATCATCCTCTGCCGTTGCTATTCATCTTTCTCAATCACTCCCCTTCTCTTTTCCACACTCCGCTCCATGCATTCATATACAACAGGTACACACTCATGTGTGTAGGTGTATGTGTGACGTGTTCTTACCAAAAAATTCAGAGACACACTAAATGGCTAAGATTTACATTACAGAGAATGGGTTGTCTGAAGTAAATACAGAAAATCGAACCACAGGGAGGGCAGAATCATGGAAGAAACATGGGTCACTTGAGGGGGATTATAAAAGCATGTAGCACCAAAAGATGTTAAAAAACATGTTGATTGGGGTTTGAAATTATCACTATTTTTTACCATGGGCTACAGGTCAAGGAATGGTGGCACCATTAGACCAAACTTCAATTACTAAAACCCTTTTTTATGCATTCTTTCCATTGCATCCAAGAAAATTAGTCCATGTCATTGGGTTGTTCTTTCCATTTACTGCTGCACAACTCTGACCTTTGTTCAGATGTAATGAATGGGTGAAGGAGAGGCAGAGTGGAAAAGGAGAGTGAAGGTTTGAGAGCAACGGCCTTCAGTGCAGGAACGTGTTTCATGGTAATTATATTTGCTTCAACACCATGGCAATTAAATGCATTGTTTTGTTTTTTGCGTTCACTTGGCATTTTGCTGTTGGCTTGTGCTCAACCTATCAGTGATGATCAGCACTGCAAACTGAACCAAAATAGTTCTAGTTCCTTTGGAAGGAGTGAGAGTTTGGATGCCTCAGGCAAAAAAGAGACCTGGGGGGCCTACACAGAACCAAACCCTAAGAAACATGTAATACAATGATACACATTCCAGTTTTTAATCTGACCTCTAAAATTAAGAGCTTTTACCCTTAGAGCAGGGACTTTTTACACCAGGAACTTAAGAGGAACTACATTTAGACCATACTTTCTCCAGCTGATACACTTAGACACTTCTACTTCCCTGGGTCTTTGGAAATCTTTCCGTGAAGGACACAGGTTATTATTTTTAATCTGGTAGACTTTGACAAAACCTCTAGTGACATGGTCACAGTGATGCAAATGTAAAATCTATGAGTTGAGACATGAACAGAGGACTATACATTTCACCTAGAAAACAGTTATGAATTAAAATGTTCGATTTAGAGCAGGATTAGGTTTTAGGTTATGGGAAAATACACAGTTGAGAATGATGTGGGCAGGATTTAACTGTCAGGCTTAAGGGTGTTAAGTTAAATGTTCAATGATGCGTGTGTGCATGTGTGAGAGCGTGTGTGAGTGTGACAAATGATTGCTACTTCAAGTACGAGAAAATATGGGGACAGAAGTGCACTCTTGATACAGACTTGAAGGCCGCCTCTGTATTGTGCTGCTGTTTTGTTTTACTGGTGTGACAAACAGAGAGAGAGACACACGGCCGATGGTTGACAACTTGTCAAGTTAGGACACTATCTTCTCTGCTTCTGCTCCAAAGCACCACACAAAGACAGAAGAAGCTCATCTAAAAGTAATTGATTATTCTTGGTATCTGAATGAAAAGGATGTGTCTGTGTCTCAAATTAAAATATGTTATTTTTACTCATCTGGTTTATCAAATAGACAGCACTGTTAGTGGCTTTTTGTTGTTAGAATTAGTGTTGCAAAGATACTAAATGAGACAGCAGAAATAAAATTCATCCGAAAAAAAATATCTTGATGTGACAAACGGCTGCTCAGAGATGATTTGACTAAATTTAGAATTTTCCTTCATTCTCTTCCCTGGTGTCCATCACATTAACACCTAATGAGTGAAGCAGGCAATATGATTTCAGAGGGAAATTTCAGAGCTTGTTAAAAGTGACATACAACAACAGCAGGAGGGACACTGGCACTAGCCTTCCTCCACTTTTTTATAATCCCTAATAGTAGCATACATCCACATACACGCATACATACTCACATACACAACATTGCTGTTGTAAGTGGTTTTTATATCTGAGCTGGGCCAGCATGATGAGCCAGTGTTTGCATGAACAAACATGCCTATGCACACAGATATATCAATAATGTTAAAATGGTTTGGTTGCCATAGTGCATCTGCATTTTTGTGTATATATGTGTGTTTCAGTAAGTGCCAATACAGCTAAAGGGCTCAAATGGCTACTAATTGTAAAAGTATTGGATATGAGCAAAGAAATCAACCAACCTATAAATCCATTCTGTCTATTGAGTCCATTCATTAAAGCTTTTAATCTGGTCAATAGTGTCATTATGTTTGAAATTAGTCTAAAAGTAAAAGGAAAGCTGAAATTATACAAAATTACTTTCAATAACCAGTGTCTAGNTAGAAATATTGTAACAGCCAAACACTATGTGCATACAATCATTTTATCTACATTGTATTCTAGCTAAAATGAACACACAAGTGTGTTATATTTACTTCAGGTGATGCCTAAAAAT